TCACCATGCGAGGTTCAAGGCCGACCGAACAATGTGGTTTCGGAGTTCTTGAAACAAGGTCTACGAAAGCGTGACTGAGTATAGATGTGCATGTATATATATATATATATATATACATATACATATACATATATATATATATATATACATACACGCACTGTTAATTTTGCGCGACTCACGAGGATGAAATTGCATAATCATGGCAGCCAGCGTGAGCCCAAAAAGTGAGTTCTTGCACTGAAGGTGAGCTATGCGGTTTAAGCTATGTGGTGTAGGCTATGTCGTTTAAGCTATGGTGTGTGAGCTTTTTGTGGTGGAGGCAATGTGGGTAATTAATTCGTGTCAGCTCATGACTTGTCAACCCCACTGCTCGCGCAATCATCCCCCCCTCCCATTCGCAACTTGGTTTGCGAAACCCATGCGGCCACGACTGCGGCTGCCGATTAGCACTCGTTGGCGCTGCGGCAGCGCCTGGGCGCGAGCACTCGCTCGCTGGGCGACCAGCTGGTTTGGCGCAGCTGAGCGCTTGTGCTGGCGATGATGACGATAACGACGGCAAGGCCCATGACGGCGCCGACGCTGGTGACGACGATGATGAGGATGAGGATGAGGATGAGGATGCTACCGATATTGATGATGATGCTGATGATGATGATGGGGTTCATGTTCTGGTGATGAGGGTGATTGTGTTGATGATGGTGGCGGTGGCTGCGACTGGTGACCACGATGACGGCGGTAGTGCGATGGCGCTGATGGGGGTGATGGCGGGCCAGTGCGCGCGAGCGCAGACATTCAAGAAGTCTGACAAGTTTTGTTGAACAGCTGCTAGCTTTCTCTTTGTTCTCTGAACAGCTGTTGGCTGCAGCGCTTCCATTCCCAATCGTGTCGAACAGATTTCGACACGCGCGCGTGGCAACTCGCGCGAGTGGCCCGCCTGGCATTTGTACACACGGAGCCGCGCACAGGCCACATGTTGGATCAACAGGGGAGCGCGTGGAGAAGCGCGAGGGCGGATTCTGGGCGAGACTGCTCAACATTGCGGTTGTGCCGTGGCTGTTAGAGCGTTTTCTTTGCGAGTTCCCATCCGTAACTTCCCCCGCTCCGACTGCGTATCAAATCCGCTTCCCCTCAAGGGGGCTATCACCGCTCACAGCGGTGGAAATATAAAACATGCTTATAAGGGATTATTGCAGAATTATTTGGTCAGGAAAGAGGTGCGCGCGCACTGTATTACCTGACAGGGATCAGGAATGATATGATCTGATAGGGAAATTGAACCGCCTGGCTGTGGTGTGTCTGAATCGGGAAAGTAAACGGTGGGGCAGGACCCGTATGCAAGTTGCAATGTCCCATGGGATACCGAAAAGTCTGGAATGGAGAGGGCGGTAGAGACTGCTGCTCGCTTGGAAGAAATGTATGTGGTGAACTCTATGCGGTGTCAGCTATAGAGCTGCGATGGGCAAGTCCCGACACCGTGTCAGCCCAGCAGCATGATGACGACATACAGATAGGGGAGATCACGACGATGATAATGGACGGTCATGGTGATGGTCATGATAATGATGATGATCGGTGAGGGTGATGCTGATGTTGATGATGGTGGTGTTGGTGGTGATGGTGATGATATTGGTCATGATGTTGATGATGATGGTGATGTCGATTGTGATTGATATGGTTATGGTGATGGTGATCGTGATGGTGATGGTGATTGCTGTTACGATGGTGATACTGGTGATGATTATGGTGACGATGAGGGTGATGGCGATGATGATCATGATGATGATGATGCTGACGAGAATGGCGATTATGGTTATGATGCTGATGGCGATGATGATGATGCTGGTGATGATGATCATGATGATGATGCTGATGATGATGACGATGATGCTGATGATGGCGATGGGATGACGATGAGGATGCTGACGCTGATGATGACGATGATGATGATGACGATGCTGATGATGATGATGATGATGATGATGGTGGTGATGATCATGATGCTGCTGCTGATAATGATGATTGTGGTAATGGCATCGACGACGAGACGACGACCACGAGGACCGCGACGATTATGATGATGCTGATGGTGATGATGATGGGGATGATGATGGCGATGATGATGAGGAGGATGAGGAGAAGCATGACGATGCTGCTGTTGATGATGGTGATGCTGCTGATGATTATGATTACGATTATGATACTGATAATGATGATGATGATTATGACGATGATGATGATGATGATGATGATGCTGATGATGATGATGATGATGATGATGATAATGATGATGATGATGATGATGATGATGATGATGCTGATGCTGATGCTGATGCTGATACTGATACTGATGGTGATGGTGATGGTGATGATGGTGTTGGTGGTGGTGGTGGTGATGGTGATAGTGATACTGATGATGGTTATAATGAAACTCGTTTGGGCCGCCTTGGGGCTGCGTTGGTCTCCTGTGAGGCCGTCTTGAATCCCTTGGGGCCCACGTGGGCCGTCTTGGGGCCCTCTTCTGCCGGCGTGGGGTTCTCTTGGGCCATCGTTGGGCCTTCTTGACCGTATGGTGAGTGTCTGGGGGCCGTCGTGGGGTTGTCGTGGCGCCGTCTCGGGCCGTCTAAGGGCCTCTCAAGGCCGCCTTGGGTCCCACGGGGGGCCCTCTTGGGCCGTCTTGGGGCCGTCTTGGAGGCCTCTTGGGCCATTGTGGAGTCCGCTTAGGCTGCCTTGAGCTGGCGGCAGCCCGAAGAGGCTAGAATGCGAGAATCATTCGAAACCACAGGGGACTCATTGACCTCGGCCTCTTCGGACCCTGTTGGAGGTCCTGCTGTTGCCCTTTTCGGCCCTCTTGGAGACAACTTGGGCGGCCTTGAAGCAATTTTCGGCCGCCTTGGGGCCATATTGGGCCGTCTTCGAGGCATCTTTGGCCATCTTGGTGTCCTCGGATGCTTGCTCGGGCCGACTTGGGAGCTCGAGACGCGGATCCATCGTTTTGAAGGGGAATCGTGGTTCGGGAGGCCGCGGAGCGCTTGGGAGCAGCGCCTGGGAATGTGGGAAGTGCACGGCCCTCGAGCGGGTGCGCGTGGGATGAGGGGTCTAGGAGGCAGCAGCCCTGCAGGCGGGGTGCAATCCTCGGGCGGGCGCGCATGCCATGAGGGTTCAGGCATTCGCCGCCATGCGAGAGGCGCGCAATCCTCGGGCGGGCGCGCGCGGAATGAGGGCTCAGGCATTGGCAGCCATGCGGGAAGTGCGCAATCGTCGAGCGGGCACGCGTGGAAGGAGGGTCGCTGCCATGCGGGACGTGCACCCTCCTCGAGCGGGCACGCGTGGAATGGGAGTGTCAGCATCAGCTGCCATGCTGGAAGTGCACCATCCCCGAGCGGGCACGAGGGAAGTGGCCTCGGTGAGTGATGGGGGATGCGCGCAAGAGTCCGGTAGTAGAGGGAGAGAGGGGGGGGTCCTTCTGAGAATTCGCAGAACCTTGCCAGGCAGACTTTGGCATGCTTCATGCCTCAATCGAGGAAGGAAAAACCACCCCGACCCGACATTTGGCGTTTATCAAACGGCCCTGGGCGTCTATTAGACAGCCCTGCCCTGTTCGATTTCTCCCTTGGGTGCGTTTACTGAACGGCCTCGCTTTGTCGGGGTGGGTATTCTCGGGGTGGATTTTCTGCCCTCTGCTCAGCGTGCCAGGGGGCAAGCTGGCGGATGCCGTGCGAGCTGTGCCATGGAGGAGGAGGCGGAGGAGGAGGAGGAGGAGGAGGAGGAGGAGGAGGAGGAGGGGGAGGAGGAGGCAACGCGGGCGCCACCTCGGCGGGCCCACCGAGCCCACGAGGCGCCCAGGAGGCGGCAAGGGCCATGATGTTCCAGCCTGCTTTAGCTATGTGGAAGTCGATTCATAGAGAGGAACCATGCTGCCAAATAATGTCCAGATGTCCAACACATGTTTCAAACATGTTTCACATGTTTCAAAACAAAAAACATGTTTGACACATGTTTCAGAACATGTTCTACACAAGTTAAACGCATGGTTAATTAAATGATAGGGTTGTCAGAGTGTGCATTGTCATGGCATCCACAACTTTAGCCTTGATCACCAAAAGGAATTCCGTGCACCAAGAAAGTACCGAACCTTGAGGGTGTTCACGCGTCGGGCCCTGGGAAACGACACTCGGTCGACATTGTCTCGACACTTTTCTGGGTGCTCGGAAGTATTTCTGGGATGTGGTCCAGAAGTACGGTGGGAGCTACATGAGGCAAGGGTTGCAACGTGGCGCAACTTCGGCGGATCCACCCAGCGCACGGGGGGCGGCTGCGCGGAACGTCCCCGGCGGACCCAGCAAAGTTTTTCAAGTAATCCTAGCACGCGCCCCGAAGTGCAAAGACTGTCTGAGAAATGAACTTGCGAAGGTCTGCGCAGATCTCTTGGATCGGCGATGGGCCCCCCCCACCCCCGGCAGCGCCTCCGCCGCTGCCCCCAGTGCGCTCCTGGCGCCAGGGAGGGAGACCCAACGCCGCTGCAAGAAGTCCGCGCGGGCCCCCGAAAGCTGATGTATACGTGTCTCCGCACGTCTTCCCTTCCGTTCTCGGAGCCGCTCGCGTTGAGAGTGACGCGGCAGCGGGGAGCTCAGAGGATCGTCGTGGGGGGCAGCGGCATGCAGATTGGAGGATGAGGATGGCGCGACGGTTTCTTGTTCGCGTGTGGTTGGTTCTAGTCATGTGTGCATGTCAAGCCTGCCGTGAAGCGACGGCGCGCCCAGATTGGAGTTTGAGGGGGCAGGTCTTCTCAGAAGGCGGCAGGGCTTCTCCGAAGTCCCCGCGCCCTCTGAGAAGCCGTCTGCGTCTTCGGAAAGGCAAACGAGGCTTTCCTGAAGGCGGGAGTCCTTCTGAGAAGCCCCGCCCCTTCTGCCGTCCCGCCTGGGCTCGCCGCCAAGTGGGACTACGAGTGCATCGCGAGGAGCGTTCATACCACCACAGATATTGTTTTTCGCGCGCGCAAGGCGGATGGCACCACTTTCCGAGACTACCACAAGACCTACAGGAAGGCATGTTTCCGAATGTCCAACGACCGTTGGACAGTTGGAAGGGGGTGAAAGGGTAAGCAGCAGCATTATATCGTTGGACATGTTGTCTTGGCCACCCAAGCGCTCTTGCGTAACTGATTGCACATGAACCAATTTAGTGCCAGTTTGCTTGCTTGCCGCAGTCTGCATTATGTAACTCCGCCTCGTCTGTTCGTGCATGCAGTGTGTTCCATCTTCACCGCAGCAGATGCCACAGGACGACCGCTGTGCCACAGAAGCCTCAGCACCTTGCACAACCCTTGGAAGTGGGATGCGCCAGATGACCAGGTGGCGTCGGCTGCCCGAGGTCACGGAGAGTGCCGAGGGGCCCGGAGAAACTTGCCCCGCCGCCTGTGAGCATTGTTCGGTGGTTTTTCTGCGCCGTTCGCGGTGCATGCTTGGAGGCTTTTTTGCGCCAGGAAGGAGGAGGAGGAGGTGGAGGAGGAAGTGGAGGAGGAAGAGGAGGAGGAGGAGGAGGAGGAGGAGGAAGTGGAGGAGGAAGAGGAGGAGGAAGAGGAGGAGGAAGTGCAAGAGGAAGAGGAGGAGGAGGAGGCTGTGTTCGCACTGCTTTTCGTGGGCGAGGTGCGGCCAGGGCAGGAGAGAGGCACGGAGCGGGTGGGGGGGGTCGGACGGGGCTCGCTGCTTTTGGGGTTGCTGCCCTGGTCATCTCTCTGGCGCTCCTCGTGAAGAAGAAGAAGAAGAAGAAAAAGCAGAAGAAGAAGAATAATAAGAAGAATAAGAAGAAGAATAAGAAGAAGAAGCAGGAGGGAGGGAGGGGGGGGCTCGTGCAGGTCGTCACCGCCGGCGGATCGGTGTTCGGCCACGGGGGGGTCGCCGGGGACGATTACCCTCAGCCCAGCGACTGCGGCTGTCTCTCGGTCTTCCCTGAATTTGGGGTGACAAGAGGGGCTCCTTCCTCACGTGGGGCTCCGAAGCCTGACTCAGAAGCCAGGCGAAGGCTGGCAAACCCGTGGCTGCTAAAACGGAGCTCCGGGAAATTGTTATTTTCTTCCGGGAAGCAGCCCATCTATTATTTAGCGCGTTGAATTTTATTCCGGGAGTTTGTTTTTTCTTCCGGGAAAGCCGTTTCAGCAGCCACGGATTTGCCAGCCCCCGCCCAGCTTCCGACTGATTGTGCCTCACAGGAGCTCGTGGCACAGCAGCCCTATGTGTGAGGCCACTCTGCGTGTCACTGCCTTCGTCTGCCCCATTGCCGCAGCGCAGCAGCCCCGCGGGAGGCTGCCCTGCGCGGCCTTCGGGGGGGCTCCTGGTGCAACAGCCCCGAGGGATGCGAATCTGATACTACAGCCGGGGCGCTGAAGAAGGAACCCTTCTCGTTTGGGAGGGGCTCCGTGTTCCGTCGTTGTTTTACAGTTCGCCTTAGGTGTTCCTTCGGCTTTCGATGGGAAATCGAAGTTCAACTCATGGAAAAAAATGGCCTCATTCTTAATTTAGGGTTCCTTACGTCAACGCCTCGACTGTACGCTTCTCCAGTGGAGGGAACGTTCCGGCACCGCCACCCACGGCCTGGTTGTCGCTTCGAAGTCCTGATCAGAACGCACCCTGGGAGAGACACCTGGAGCAGCAGCATCGGTATGTTTTTTTTTGTTCCGCCCCATCACTGCGCGATTCTTTCTCAGGGGGGCCTGATGTCACGCTTGGGACAGGCTTCATGGCGCCAACATCGCAGAGCGGATTTCATTCGGGAAACGATAGGATGGGCTCAGAGTAGAGTTTCCTGGAGAATGTCGTTCTGGATTTCGATGTGAATTTTGTCCGTCTTTTTGGGGGGCCAGGAATGAAGACTAAAACAACTCCACGCGAAATTCGCTTCGTTGTTCAGGGTTTTGCATTGACAGGAATCCCCGCAAAAATCCGCTGCAGCACGTCTGCAAGGTCGGTGCAGTGACAGGTGTGCCGGTGCGCATGAGGCCTTGACACCGCGAGCGGGCATCCACGGTAGCCCCCCAAGTCGCCTGGAGCTCGCATCCGGGACACGTGCAGTGGTACGTGCTCGCCCTCGCCGACTTCTCGTCGGCACTCCACATGTTCTCTGCCCCCGCGCGCGGTGGAAGCATGCCGCACACAGCGAAGCCGACAACAACGAGGGCGACCCGTTCATGCAGGGACTCCCCCGGCCCGGCGGCAGGACCCCCGTGGGCCGAGAGGGGGGGCATTCCAGGCCATGCGGGCACCGTCGACATGTGACCTCGCTTATTTGCTGGAGCGGAGTAGGGGCAAGGTCCACGAGCCGAGGGGAGGAGGAGGAGGAGGAGGAGGAGGAGGAGGAGGAGGAGGAGGAGGAGGAGGAGAAGAAGGAAAGGAGCAGGGAGGAGGATGAGGAGGAGGAGGAGGAGAGAGGAGGAGGAGAGGAGGAGGAGGGCAGAGGAGTGGACCGCGGGGAGGCCAGGAGGAGCCAGGGAGGAGGAGGAGGAGGAGAGGAGGGAGGAGGAGGAGGAGGAGGAGGAGGTTGGGAAAGGAGGAGGGAGAGGAGGAGGAAGAGGAGGAGGAGCCGCCAAAGTGTTTCTTCTCCCGGCCTGTTTCTTCCACGTCACAACCAAGTCTTGATGTCGGGAGGTCTGCGGTGGTGGTGGCACCTTTCCGAGGTGTGTCTGTGGGCGGGGGGGGGGGGGGCGTGTGTGCCAACGGCAAGCACTCGATCATCTGCTGGTGGGGGGGAAGGGGACCAACTGTTGTGCGTTGCCTTCCCTGCGGCGCCGGCGCTTCGAAAGCTGACGCCAGGCTGCGCGCCGCTTGGGCATCAGGTGATGTCTGTGTCCATGCCGCAGGGCAGCGCGGGGTCCAACCTTGTCCTCCTTGCGCCACCGCTGCAGCGCAGGACGCCCGAGGTGGGTGGCGCTTCCCCACGTCGGGCGCGCCAGACTGACGCCAAAGCCATGCGCGGACGCTCGTGCTTTGTTGTGCGCGTGGCGATGCCGAGCTGACGAGAATCGTAACTGCTGGCGAGGCGAGCGGATCTGCAGGCGATCTCGTAGAGGAAAGAAGTGCCCGTGGCCATCCTACGCTGAAGGCCTCGCGCGCTCGGAGGGGTGGGGGCGTGAGCCGAGCGGGCATGCGGGAGAAAGACCGCGCGCAAGTCTCCTGGACCTCTCTGATTCGTTTGCCGGAGCTGGAAGAGCAGCCACAGCCGCGACGCGGCAGAGCGCACTTCGCACCGGCGCCCACTGGAAAGGAAGGACAGCGGTCGCGGCGGCGGAGGAGGACAGAGGAATGGCGGAGCAACCTGGAGGAATAACAAATATACATATGCATAATTTTTGGAGCTCCGCTCGGATTTCTTGGATCGGCGCTGGGCCCCCCTGGCGGCGCCTTCGGCGCCGCCCCTGGCGCGCGGAGCGCGCCAGTGTGCTCCGCCCATCCTCTGTTCTCCTCCGCGCCCGTAGCCGCTGTCCTTCCTTTCCATTGGGCGCCGGTGCTTCCAGGGACACGACAATATTTGTTTTTCAGATTTTGACTTCCCGTTCGAAGTGTTAGCCTGTTTGCAATTTTGAGCATGCGCGGCTTCAGTTCGTTTGTCTTTCGGAGTGGTCTTCGGGCTCCGGCACACATAGGGTAAGTCGGGCCCGTCCCTCTACAGGAGAAGTAATCAAAAGTAGCCCAAACATAGTCTGGGGACTACTTTTTGATCGAGCATTTGTGGGGCCACGTTGGAGTATGTTCTGGGTATTTTTAATTCTTCGTGGAAAAATCCCCCCTGCAGGGGGACACGCCCGACTCTTAAGCATAGGGCAGGGAGGGGGCCGAGGGGGCCAAACATAGTCTGGGGACTATTGTTTGATTGAGCATTTGTTTGGCCACTTTGGAGTATGTTCTGGGTATTTTTAATTCTTCATGGAAAAATCCCCCCTGCGGGGGGACACGCCCGACTTTTAAGCATAGGGCAGGGAGGGGGCCGAGAGGCAGGAGGCTCGCGCCCGGTCTGTGTTCCTGCACGCCCCGCGCGGCCCACGCCCCCGGCCTCTCCGGGCGCGCGAGGCCCTGTCGGAAGCTGCAGCATGCACGTTGCCGGCGGCGGTCGGGCCGGACGAAAGGGGGGGATTGGGAAAGGGGGGGTTACGAAATTTGCTGCATGCAGCTGGTTTCGGCCTCACAGAGGGGCCCATTCCTCGATACATGGCCGCCTCCGGCGCCGGTAGGCGCCGGGAAAATCAGCTGCGTGAGCTGATTCTCAAACCCCCCCTTTGCTATCCCCTTTTCGCCAATCGACTTGTGGGAGTCGAGCCAGACAGGTCCAGGTAAATGCAGATACATCGAGACAAGTCAGGGTAAATCCAGGCAGATCGAGGTACATCCGGAGAAATCCAAACAAATCCAGAGATCTCCAGGGAAAGTTGGAGCAATTCGCGGCCGCTCCAGCGCGAGCCGAAGGACGGCAGAAGCCGTTAAGCCTTTAACGATGCAGAATGCACGTTGCCGGCGGCGGGCTGTGTCTCAATCCCCCGGGACTCCTTTCAGGAGGGAAAAAAACACACAGACACGATTAATCGTCGATCCCCCAGAAAGTATGGGAAACTATGGGAAGTGGGGGGGAAGACGAAACCCCAGAAACTATGGGAAAATATGGGGGGATCCTTGTATTTGTGTGTATTTATTTGTGTGTCCCAGGGCCCCTTCATCCTTGAGGGTCGGGGACGACGTCGGGGTGGTGTGGTGTACACACAGTGTTCATTTCTAAGTCTTCCAAGGTCATTTGATGTCTGGGGGGCCAAGATCCTTTCGGTTCTAGTTGTTCGATCCTGGGCCTCTTCCTGGCCACTGGGGGGCCAGGAACAATTAGAAACGAGCACAATTAGAAATGAGCACGATTAGAAACGAACGACGTGTACTTGTTTCCCCATTTTCCTGAGGAAACAACGGCATATGCATACACCAGGATCCCGTAGTCACCAGGACCCGCTTCCCCGTGCGAGTGCCAGTGCGGGGCCGGCAGAGGCGTCGGTGTACAGAGTTCGGCTCCTTGCCTTGCTTGCCGTCGCTCTGTTCTCCTCCGCCTCCGTGGCCTAAAACGACGCGAAGATCGGAACAACATCGGATCGGGATAACTCGAAATCCCTGAGAACCGGCGGGTTTGGAGGATGCATTGGGCGCCGCGGCCGCTCCAGAGCGTTCCGGAACACTCTGAGAGCGCTCCGGAACGCTCTGGAGCGATTTATCCCGATCCTAGCCTTGTTTTATGGCCGCCGTCGTTCCTTTCGGTGGGTGCCAGTGCGCAGATGGTTCGTGCTGCGGCGTCCTGGTGGTTGCTGCCCGACGCCTCGTGTGCCCCACGCCGCCGCCGACAGAGATGGGCGGCTGCGCTTCGCCAAGGGATCGACTACAGAGTCGAGTCGCCCAAAAGACGTCGAACCTACAGAATCGGGGGTGGACAGACCTCCTACCCTGACACGTCGATTAGTGAATTGTCCGTTTTCGGTTCTCGAGAGGGCGCCGCGGCCGTTATTTTCCAGGCTTGCGCCGGCCAGATTTGGGCCCGAGGTCGTTTTCACTAAACCACGTTTTACTAAAGGGATGTCTGTCCATCCCCGAAACAAAAAAGACGTTGCATGTTTCATGGGCTCGACGAGAAAACAAGTCTGGGGTACATCAATTCTGTAGTCGATGTCCTAATTCGTCGAGCATTGGGTGTGATTGTCCCGATGCGTGGTTCGTGATCGGCGCCGTTGGGGCTTTGGGGGTCACCGCGTTTGCGATTCGCCAGAGTGTTTGATGATGAGCCCTCGTCGGGGCGCAGCACAGATCTCCGTCGAGGTCCTCGCCCGCCTCCCAAGGCACAGGTTGCGAACCTGATTCTTCGGAGTCGCCGAAAACATGTCCCGCCCATGTTATCGTACCCCCCCCTCCTCCTCCCCCCAAGGAGTAGATCTTGGCTGTTTTTCCAAAGCATCCTGTGGTGTTGGCTACTCGTTTAGGGAGCTCCACCGAAGCCCCCAGTGGGACCGCCCGCATGTGTCCCACAGGGTGCTCCACCGAAGCCCCCAGTGGGCCCGCCCGCATGCGCCACACGCCCAATTTGGCACTGTCACCCACTCAGTACAGCGTTTCGTGGTCCACCGAAGGCCCGAGTGCCACCGTCCACATGCGCCCCAAAAGCCCACTGTGGCGTTTTCACCCACCCATTTCAGCGTTTCGTGGCCCCAGGGGGAACTCCACAGAAGCCCCCAGTGCGACCGCCTACATGCGTCCCACACACCTAATTTGGCATTTGGACCCACCCAGTACAGCGCCTCGTGGCCCCATGGGGAGCTCCACCAACGGCCCCAGTGCTACCGCCCGCATGCGTCCCCCACACCTAGTACAGCGTTTCGTAGCCCCGCAGGGAACTCCACCGACGGCCCCAGTGATGCCGCCCGCATGCGTTCCCCCCACCCAGTACAGCGCCTCGTGGCCCCATATATGGGGAGCTCCACCGAAGGCCCCGGCTACCGCTCGTATGCCTCTCCACCCAACCAGTACAGCGTTTCGTGGCCCCACAGGGAGCTCCACCGACGGCCCCAGTGCTGCCGTCCGCATGCGTTCCCCCCACCCAGTGCAGCGCTTCGTAGCTCCATAGGGAGCTGGAGCTTCACCGAAGAAGATATTCACAATTGCGGTACCCACAGCTGCATCAGGTTGGGTCTTTCGCCAGGATAATTTGGCGCCCGCTTCGAGCAGGTGGAACCTTTCCCAGATGCAGCACTCTTGCAAACAGTCGCACTAAGCAGAGGTCTGGAGCCAGACCCCCCCCCTCCCACCACCTGCCGAAACGCCGAATAAAAAACAAAACGCTCCCTCATTGGGATGAGCAACTCTCCAAGGCGACCCTTGCATCCCTGCCCCTTCGGCCCATCCTTGGCGACTTTCGCTGGCCATTGGGGGGGCCCTGGAGGAGCAGGCGTAACGGCAGGGGGTGGCCCTGCAGGAGCACGGTCAGGCACCTGCGCGTCCGCGCGCCGCGCCGCCTGCTCGGGCCCGCCACGCTGCGTCGCGACACGCGGGCCACTTACCCACCGCTGAGCGGCAACGTCCCGCGCCGGAATTCCTCTAGCTCATCGATGCCAGAGAGCTCTACAAGGTACGACGGAGCTGGAAAGCACCCCATTGATCCAGAAATGAAGTATCCAGACGTCCGAGATCGTTCCAGGGCTGCGACTGAGGCACTATTCGAGCTCCGATTTTTCTTGTGACGTCCCGAGCTGTTCCCGGCCTCCCAGCCCGCGGAGCGGAGCGACGCGTTGCCAGCTCGCAGGGCATAGCGTGTCGCCAGGGCCGCCGCCGCGACACGCGAAGCAGCAGGTGGGATGGGGCGCCCTTTCTTCTCCCCCATCCTTGTGCCTGCACCAAGACGGCGGCCCTCCTGGCCCCACCAGCCTCCGCCACCACCGTAGAAGGGCGACTGATCGACAGCGATCGGTTGCGTGCTCCGGTGGGTCGCGCGAGGCCCCGGGATGAGGCCCCCAGGCGCGCTAGCTGATCGGACGACTGGCTGCTCTGCCGGCAGCCTTCACGCTCTCGCCATTCCTTCCCTGTTCGGAGGGGAGTGCGAGCGCACCTCCCGTCTGGCCCCCTGGGCCCCCCCCCGTGGAGGGAGGCGCGGTGGATCCGAGGAACACGTGCGCGAGTCGTCGGGCTCGGAGTGGAGCCCGAGGCGTTCCAGGTGGCGGGGTGCCCCTGCCCGCAGGGGGTTGCCAGTTCTAGACCTGAGCAGGGGTGTTCTTTTTGCTGAGGGGCCCCAGCCTGGGAGGAACGGTTCCGCCGCCGAGAGTTATCCAGAGGCACCGCCTGGGGGATCGATCTTCGGGAACTTCGGCAGGCAGTGAATATAGATATGTTCAGGCCCTGGGAGCGCCATACATTCATGTGTACATATATATATATATATATATTCACACATCCACCGTCTACCGAGCCCCCCGAAGATCAATCACCCAGGTGGTGGTAGTTGATACGGTCAGGAGTTTGGGCCTCGCATGCCGTTCCGCCGGTTCTGGCCCACCGCGCTTCGGCGCGGCACGCGATCCTCGCCCACATTCCCCAACTCAGCCTCCCGGGCGTTCCCCGGCCTCCCGACCCCCAGGGAAGCGGAGCGACGCGCCCTCCGCTCGCGAGACGGGGCGTGCCGCCTGGACCGCCGCCGCCACACGCCAAGCAGAACATCCCGACGTCAAATCCCCGCCTCGCAGTGGGAGGAACCCGGATCGCGAGTGGCGCCTCGGTAGGCGCGGCGGCGAGCGCGTGCCCGCTATCGGAGAAGACAAAACGCCATGAACAGAAACTTTCTGGCGCTCCGCGCGGATTTCTTGGATCCGCGCTGGGCCCCCCCCGGCGGCGCCTCCAGCGCCGCCCTTGGCGCGCTCCGCGCGCCAGGGAGGGGGGTTCAGCGCGGATCCAAGAAATCCGCGCGGAGCGCCAAAAGTTTATGTGTACGGCTTTTTTGTTTAATGATTCTACGCCAGGAAACGGCTCGCCTCCGACTACTTCGGCGGCACCCTCGCCAAGCACGGCTTCCAGCACCTGGGGACCGAGAAGATGTACTCAGGACGCGGGGCGTCCTGCTGCCTGCCCGCGTTTTTCCGTCACAGTGGGCCGTGGAAGCGACAGGGCCTCTCTTTTTAGCGTTAAGTCGGGTTTGTCCTTCTACAGGGGGAACATTCAAAAACATTCAAAACATAGCCTGGGGGCTATTTTTGAGTATGTTTGGGGCATCTTTTGAGTATTGCTTGTGTATCTTTCATTTGTCGTCCAAAATCCCCCTGTATGGGGGACAGGCCCGACCTAATTTTAGCGCTTCCGTGGGGCGGAAAGATGCGATGCGGTAGAACAGCGTGCGTTCTGGAACGGAAAAAGGGCACATGCCACATTCGAAACCAGGCTAGAACAAAAACAGGGAGCGGCGACATAGCCGTAGGACAACGGCGACGGAGCTGGAGAAGAAGCGGCGGCCGAACAGGAAGCAAGCACGGAAAACAGAACCGACAGAGTGCCGCGCCGCTTCCAAGGCCCATTCAGTTTTCAGTCTTGTTTGGAAGCTGGTCGTCGACGTGTCGAGAAGGTTTTCGAGAAGGACGCTGCGATCTACTGCCTGTTGTTTACAGGTCTTGGCGAAAGATGCCGCGATCGGCTCTTTTCAGATCACGTCACGCTGTTGCGCCCACACGTGCCAAGAATGCGTACTGATTCTTCGAGGCTGTCCTAAGATTGCCAGCGGCCCCACCGCCGTGGTGTTATCGGGGGGACGAACTCCTCCTCCTCCTCCTCCTCCTCCGCCTCCTCCTCCTCCTCCGCCTCTTCCTCCTCCTCCTCCTCCTCCTCCTCCTCCTCCTCTTCCTCCTCCTCCTCCCCCGATCACGCCCGTCATCGCGAATAATACAAGCAGCCACTAGTGCCTGTCGAAAGGTTCGCCTTGCCAGCGCTGGGCGCACCGCGCATTTCGCTGGCTACCACCAGCCTTGGGGCGCCTGGGGGACAAACAATAGAGCAGGTTTCTACCGGCTACGCCCGCAAGCCAATCAGCTTCGCCCGCAAGCCAAGATTACGGGCGTCCAAGACAATATTAGGCATGATTGTTTCTCTTCGAAACGATTGCAGAATGAACAGCCTAGCAAATCCTCAAAAATGTTCCAGGAGGTCTGTAGTTGAACATCGTCTTGCGGTGAATTCGGCAGACACGCGAGCTTACCAGCTCACGCTGCTATCTTCATCATGTGAGCGTGAGTCTTCTTGCACGATGTAGGCCGGTCGTTACGGGTGGACCGTGCAGTTTCATGTTGTTTGGGCTTGGTTGGTGCGGCAATTCACTGTAGTGAGTGAGCACGTTGGGACGGGAACCCAGCTCTGCGAGGGTTGTTCTTACCAGTTTGAAACATATCCCTATCCCTATGTTTGACATCACCTCACCTCGATGCCGATCTTAAGGATTCCCTCAGTTTCTGAGGGCCTATCCCTAAGATTGTCCTCGCTTTTTGCTCGCCCATCTTAGGGATAGGGATATGTTCGAGGCTGGTTATGTTCCTCGTCCTGATGCCCAGTGGGATCTTCTCGCGGGGAATCGGAGCGACACGTGCCCGACCCCATCAAAACAATCTGCAAGGCGGAGTGGAGAGGGATTGGGTTGAGAGGGAAGAGAAGGTAAGACGACGGCAGCGAAGACCAGCAGATGGAGATGGATGGAAACGGCGGCCTCTCAAATACAGTCGAGGCGCTGAAGAAGGAACCCTTTTCGTTGGGGAGGGGCTCGGTGTTCCTTGATCGTTTTACAATTTGCCTTAGGTTTTCCTGAGGTTGTCCATGGTACATCGAAGTTTAACTTCTTGGAAAAAGGGGCCTCGTTCCTTATTCAGGGTTCCTGAGGTCAACGCCCCGACGGTATTTGCAGGGCCGCTCCGGACGTTCGGACCCGCCGCTGGGGCCACCGCGAAGGAGTTCCGAGAGTTTGGGTTAGCGCGAAGAGCCGTGCTCTCCTCCCAGAAATCCAGCAGGGGGTCGACTGCGAAACGGAGTCGGTCCCCAGCTCGAAGACAGGGGATGCGGAGCAGCGGGGGAGGGCCAGGCCCTCCTCCTCCTCCTCCTGCTCTTTCTTCTCTCCTTTTCCTCCTTTTTCTCCTCCTCCTCCTCCTTCTCCTCCTCCTCCTTCTCCTGCTCCTCCTCCCCCTCCTCCCCCTCCCTCTCCTCCTCCGCCTCCTCCTCCTCCGCCTCCTCCTCCTCCACCCGCCTCGATCCGATCCGGTGCGCCCGCCGGGGCGCGACCCCGCGTCGAGTCGGTTCGCTTCGGTCCTCCTCCTCCTCCTCATCCTCCTCCTCCTCCTCCTCCTCCTCCCTCTCCCCCTCCTCCTCTCCTCTCCTCCTCCTCCTCCTCCTCCTCCTCCTCCTCCTCCTCCTCCTCCTCCTCCTCCTCCTCCTCCTCCTCCTCCTCCTCCTCCTCCTCTCCCTTGAACAGCACCCCCCCTCTTGGCCGCCCCCCGGGGGCGTGCGCGAGCCCGCGTCGATTCGGTGCGCTTCGGTCCTCTCGGCACCGGCCAGGCCCAGCCGGAGCCGAGCACGGCGATGCGATGGCGGTTCGATGTGGGGGCGATCCGTCGGAGGTCCAATCCGATCCGATCCGATTTCGCGACGCGGCCCAGCTCATCAGTCCTGTCGGGCCGGACGAAAGGGGGGGATTGGGAAAGGGGGGGTTACGAAATTTGCTGCATGCAGCTGGTTTCGGCCTCACCGAGGGGCCCATTCCTCGATACATAGCCTCCGGCGCCAGGAGGCGCCGGGAAAATCAGCTACGTGAGCTGATTCTCAACCCCCCCCTTTACTATCCCCCCCTTTCGCCCGACCCGATCCTGGGAGGGCGACGGCGACTACGGCGACGGCGGCGGCGGCAGCGACGACGGCGACCACGGAGGGGCCCCTCCACGCAGATACCCTCGACGAGAGTCTCGACGGGTGGCTTTCCCCACGATCGGCGAGGCATGTCATCGGGTAGACCCGCGAGGAACTCGGCACCACCACCACACCACCAACGCCACTCCAGCTGGCACGGGGCGAAGGTACCCTTATGTCCTTATTGTCTTTCTTTTTTCGAGAGGTACCCTTATGTCCGGTCCTAGCCTCTCGAGGGGTACCCTTTCTGGTGGAATTTGGCACTCCAGTCCTAGCTTTCGAGAGATACCCTTGTGTCCTCCATGTGTGGGATCTCCACCTTGGAATGCTGTTCGTGTGGGGCATCTCCACCGGATCTTGGGCCTTCGGCGAGGGGGGTCATGTTCTTGACCCGTGTTCTTGTGGCCATGCTTCGGTTGCATGGCAATAGAAGCAAGCACGGTGGGGAGGGGACGTCCAGTGCATTGGGTAGCGTGACGTCATCGGGTGCGTTCCAACGATCCACATTCGCAGTTGAATTGTCCTTGCTTGCTACTGCAAAGCAGACCAGCAGCCCAGGCTTGCTCGCAAACTCAAGGCTTACTCCACTGTGCTTGGGCAGGCATCCACGGCACCGAGATGGAGTGTGAGATCTTCATGGGCCTCATCTACTATCAGGAGCCTCGCTTTTGCACGTGGACGACGGGGGCTGGGATACGTTGGCGAGGCAGCAGGATGGGAGGGTGGAGAGGTGACCAGGAGTACCACGACGGACGCTGCTGCTGCTGCTATTTCACCCCGCCCTCCTATCACTCCGCTCGCCGGCGAGCGGACAAGGCAATCGACAAGTAAGATCATGTCGGGCATGTCCCCCATACGGGCGGATTTCTGACAAACACATCAGATAGTCCAATAAGATTTCAAACATGCTCAAAATACTCGAAGCATCGTATCCAGGCTATTGTTTTACTATTTTTGAGCATTCCCCCTACGGGCATGTCCCCCTACGGGCGGATTTTGGACGAAACACATCACATAGCCCAATAAGATTTCAGACATGCTCAAAATACTCAAAGCATCGTCTCCAGGCTATTTTTTTACTATTTTTGAGTATCTTGGCATCGCTCGGACGTGTGCATTGTTTCTCGGCGAGATCCATCGAGGACCATCCTGGACCATCGAGCAAAAAACAAACACGCACGACACCGAAACGCGCACGGGAAATGGACGTCCGAGCGACGGCAAGGCACTCCTCCTGTGGAGGGACGCGCCCGACTCGAGAGCACACTGCGGCGGAGCGGGCGCGCGCGGCTCGACGCCTCGGCGAGTGGCTTCGCGGCCTGGCCGGCCCAAATGGGGCCACGGCCCCCGACGCCTCGCGCGCGACGGGGGGCCGCTTGCTGCCCGCACCCGGGGGCCTGCCTCGAGTCGGGCGCGTCCCTCCACAGGGGGAAGATTTCAAACTAGTATAACACATAGCCTGGGGACGAGTTGTTGTACGGTTTGCTATGTTTGATTATTTTTGGACTATGTCATATTTTTCGTCCAGCATCCGCCTGCAGAGGGACACGCCCGACCCAAGGCTTGCCTCCTGGCCCGCAGGGCTCCGCCCGGGCGAGGAGCTCGCTCGAGGCCAGTGCCGCTTTCCGCGGGGAACTCTGGGCGCCCGGCGGCCTTCACGTAATGCGGGGCGAGCCTTCTCGGCAGGCTTACGTTCGGGCCTGTCCCTCTACAGGAGGAGTCTCCAAAGATAGTCCAAAAACGCTCTGGGGACGATTTTTGTACACTATGTTGAAGCATGTTGGGAGCATTGTTGGAGTATTCTTCATGCTTCGTCCAGAATCCGCCTGTAGAGGGACATGCCCGACCTAACGGAAGGCTCGGAAGTCCCCGACCCTTCTGAGAAGTCGCCTGAGCCCCCCATCGAAGGACGCAGGAGGCTCCTCGGCAGGCCCGGGGGCTTCGGAGGAACCCCGCCGCCCTGCGAGAGGGCCTTCTCCTTCTCGCTGCCCCCCCCTCCCTCGCCGCCGATGTCGGGGGCGACAAAGAGGGGGGGGATGATTAGGTGGGGGGATATCATGGCGCGGGCCATGGTATTTACTCGGACTTCATGGCGCCTCTTCGTAGTTCAATGCGTCCCCGGCCCCCGCCCTGGGCCGCGCACACGTCGCCGGCCATGATTTGCGCCCACCCCCCTCTTGGACACCCCCTCTTTCAAGCAGTGACGAAGCGTCCTGGCTCGCCTATAGCCCTACCAAGAAATGTTCTAAGAACCTTTTGCGATTTCTACGAAATGTTTTTAGAACATTTCTGGCTGGGACTGTCTTGGTTTAACACATCGGGGTAATGCTCTAGGAACCTTGTTTTTGTCCTTATATCAATTTGGGGTTCTAAGAACATTTCGTGGTAGGACTATAGGAATGCCAGGACGGTCGGTCCCTGCTCAGCTCTTGGCCGCCCCCGACGATGGGCGCCGAGCGACCTTCGCAGAACTCCTCGGGAGGCGGTGTGCCACCCGGGCGCGCAGGGAGCGGCCGAGCGTCCGCGGCCGGACGGGGCGCGGTGGGCCGAGACGTCTGCGCCGGCCTCGGCGCCCTGCCCCGGTGGCCACGACGGGCCACCGCGCGCGCCACGACGATGACAACACGCAGGGCCCGGCGCCAGGGAGTGCCTCCTTAACGACACCCTCGCCGTCCGTGCCCCTCCTTCCACTCTCCCCCCCCCCTTCCCCTCCCCCTCCTCCTCCTCTTCTCCTCCTCCTCCCCCTCCTCCTCCTCCCCTTCCTCCCCTTCCTCCCCCTCCTCCTCCTACTCCTCCTCCTCCTCCTCCTCCTCCTCCTCCTCCTCCTGCGGTCCCGTCGATTCTGGGCCAGCGGCGCGGCGCGACTGTGCCGAGCCTGTACTTGAGGCTGCGTGGCAGTGGCGCGCTGCTTGCGTCTTCGTCGCCCTCGGAGTTCTCCCGCCGCGCGCGTCTGGGGCGGTGTGGGCGTAGCGCGGCCCGGCTGTTGCAGCGGATGTCCACAAGGGGAGGGAAGAGAAGGGGAGGAGGAGGATGAGGGGGAGGAGGAGGAGGAGGAGGAGGAGTAGTAGGAGGCGGAGGAGGAGGCTATAGGAGAGGTGGAGGAGTAGGAGAGAGGAGGAGGAGGAGAGTAGGGAGTAGTAGGAGGAGGAGGAGGGAGGGGATGAGAGGAAGGAGGAGGAGGAGGAGGAAGCGGGGAGAGGAGGCAGGAGGAGGAGGGGGAGGAGAGGAGGCGCGGAGGATAGGCAGGAGGAGGAAGTAGGAGGAGGAAGGAGTAGGATGAGAGGAGGAGGATGAGGAGAGGAGGAGGAGGAGAGAAATGAGGAGGAGAGGAGGATGAGGAGGAGGAGAGGATGAGGATGAGGAGGGAGGACGAGGAGGAGGATGAGGACGGGAAGAGGTGAGAGGAAAGGGAGGAGAAGGAAGAAGAGGAGGAGGAGGAGGTGGACGAGGACGAGGAGGAGGAGGAGGAGGAGGAGGAGGAGGCGGAGGCGTAGGAGGAGTCAGCGAGCCGTGGCAGGGTGCGGGGATGGGGCCTGTCCCCTCCGCAAGAGCCCCGCTGGCGCCCGAGCCAGGGCGCGCGCCGACGAGGGAAGAGGGCATTGAAGGGGCATCTGCAGAGCCGCCCACCATCCGAGCCGATGCGATTCGATTCGCCGGGCAGGGTCACGATCCCGATTGTCAGAGGAGGAAATGTACCCATATACAGTTACCTTTCCCTCGTTTCCCCCTTTTGGGGCCTCCTGGGAGGCCCGCGTCGCCACCGCTGGATCCGCTTCGAAATCCTGGTCAGAATGCGCCCCAGGAGAGGTCAGGGGAGTAGCGGTATCAGTACCTCGTGGTTCCCCCAGATTCGCTTCGAGTCGGCCGGAGGCACTGGCATCTCAGTGGAGGGCGAGTCGAGACCACAGTAGTTGGCCTTCGGGGGGGCCCCCTCGTCGCCACCAGGCGCGGCGCCCCGATCTCGGTTCGATCCGCTGGCGATCCGAACCGCTCCTGGCCCGATCCGACTCCGCGGTTCGATCTGGCTCGGGCTTGCGCCTGGCAGTCTGGAGCCGTGCCGGGGCCACGTGGGGCTCTTCGGGGGCCTTTGGGCGCGTCTTGGGGCGAGGCGGAGGGCCTCTGTAACCGTCTTTGGACGCTGCGAGGGCGAAAACACGGAACATAGCGAAAATGTGCGTTTCCCCGAGGCTCTGGGGCGGGAGCGTACCCATACGACCAGCTTCCGTTGGGGCTCCCAGGGCGTCGGCTACCAAGCCGGTGAATCTGGACAGATCCTGGACATGCGGCGTCCTGGTAGTTTCAGAACGCCGTCCCCAAAGAGTCCCGACCCTCCCGGGACTGGCTTTTCATCCTGAGTCGTCTTTGTGGACGGTCCCAGGGCCCAGCGAGGGCCCCCAGGGCCCGAACGAAAATTTCCAGTCCTGACTTTATTTGGGAGCCTTGCCTCGCCCAGTCTGCGGGAGTGTGCCAGGCCTGGCGGCCTGCACTCGCCAGGTGCGCCGAGGGAGGGCGCCGAGGCAGCCCCCTCGCGCACCGCGGCAGTGCCGGCTGGCAAGAGGAGGAGAAGGAGGAGGAGGAGGAGGAGG